AGCATATATTTTTTCGTACATGCGTTTCTAGGCAATCCATGTAAACAACGTGAGGAATAGTGCTGACCGATTCCGGCTGGGATGTCATATTTCACCACATTTCCGGCGCACAAGTTACGTATCGAAAACGTGTTTCTATAACATAGGTTGGACTTAAGCATCACAGCATTACTATGGGGCTTGGGGGATGTCTGCATTTTGTGTGGGTCTTTCTTTGGATTTAGTTGTGCTGCTATTGACTGATCATCCCTGCGTGGGGCAGGCCTTGCAGGCTGGTCATGCTCAAAGAGGTAAGTTTTGGGTGTGATCGGGTAGATTGGGTCTGGTTTTAAACAGTTATTGTGTATCATAACATTTGTATTGGCCATGTGTGTAACCGCCCGGAACTCTAAGTGCATACCCAGTAATTTTGCTGGTACTATATTGTACATTATATTGTAATATACGGTGGTGTTCCTTTTTCTTGACATACTGCTGTTTTGATGGAAAATTGGCTATTTTAATTAATCTGACAGTAAATTTGGCAAAAAAGTGTACAAAGCGACAAAGTACAAAGCATACAGTGATAGGAAGTGATGCACAGGTTTACTAACTGAAGCTGTCATAACACGAAATGTCTGCATCCAGTCAGAAAAAATAGTCCGTTTCGCTGGACACCTACAGGACATCGGTGCCTGGATCTTCACATTGGAATGTGAAACTTGAGCCAGGCCAAATCACACTGAATCGTCAAATTATTGATGTGTGAAGGGATTTTTCGGCATTTGTCTACCTGAAACTACCTTGGCGATATAACGATTCGTTGAAACATTGGCTCTGTTACCATTGGATTTGGTGGCACCTGTGTGCTAAACTATGAGGTCTTGGATTTAGAGGGTGTGTGCTTAAGTTGTTCCCATGATGTCACTGCTTTGCTGTACATAATCTCTTACCCCGGACATGTCAAACATTTGTGTTTTGTGCAATCTGGGTTTATATTGATGTTACCATTTGTTACATTTAAATGATTTTCTCTCAGAAATAACTCGTTGAATACATGTGCAATAAGATAGAACATAACAAGACTATTTTTCAACACCTATATTTTTCAAGAAGCACAGTGCATTGAATTTTTGCTGATGAATTTAAATGAGCACAACCAGTGATGACATCTATATTTCATAATTTTGACATGTATGCTTGAATAATGAAATGTCACTGGCTGCTATGAAATAGCGTTCTGGCTTTGGTTCACAAAAACCCAAGTGTAACATGCTCATGGTTCCAGCATGCTTTTAACATGCTTTCAAATGAATACTTGTGGTCTCACATGCCTATTTACAACTTAGATGTAACCATTGATTTGTAGATAGTAAAATAGGAAACTTTCGAAATCTGTGCAGACCCTGACAATAGACACCAAAAATAAACAATCATTTCCGCTCATGCATTCTAATGCTTGCTGCATGGTACTAAAGGTTATGGGTGCAGGAGATACAGATGGCTCAGCCAAAAGATACTGATGACCACAACTAAGCGTGGGGTTAGAAATACATGTCCCAGGAGCATCAGCACAGAAGTACATCTCGCTACTGCATCCTAGTACCAGATACCCCGTGCGTGGAAAGGGTTGCCCAAAGTATGACGGCTAGGATGAAAGGTTTTGAAGTTCTGTGCAGAGTGTGAGATCTCAAGGTGATTTGCTACAGAACATCAGCACTCTGGTCATTGTTCCACCGTCCGTGTTCCTCACATAAGCTGCACTACGTTTTGCAAAGAATACTTGCAGTGGGTGTTTATGATAGGTCAAAACATGTTGAGAAAAACTGTGGGAGACTTAAATGTTTTCAAGGCATTGAAAGTTAAAAAATGACATAGCTTACAAACAGGATCACTCTGAAATAGTTGGCCAGACACCATGTCAGCCATGATAAGGTCAGCCATCTCTGTAGATTGCATATAATTTTGGGAGGACGCATCTTACGTTCTTCCAATGACAGCCGACTTTCAGAGGATTATTTGAGTGTTCTTTCTTGGCAGGACGACGTGACACACCGTCTGGATGGTTTGCCAGGGCGGCGGCCAGCCCCGCCATAGAGCCGACGCCAGGACCGTTCAAGAAGGCCGCTGAGACGTCAGCCCTTCAGCCCTTCACGGAGAACATAAGGGACCGAGTCGATGACGACAGCGATGGCGATGACTTTGTGGATCCCCCGTCACGTCAGATCGTTTGACCTGTCGACGCCCGCGGTGGTCCGCAGCGTCCCCCCATCCCCCACCGCCTGTGGCTAACCCAACGGCCGGTGCGCACAACACCATGTCGGATCTCCTAGGCAAGATGCAGAAGTCCATTCTTCAAGATTTAGACGATCACCCTAAGCATGACCCGACATGGCACAAGGCGCTGTCGGCATTCATGACTAACTGGTGCGCCCCCACGTCCTCTGTCGCCCCCCCCCCCCCCCTGTCAGAGCCAGCTCTATGCGCGATGTCAACTAGGTTGGCGGAGAAGCGTGGCCGCCACATCCCCGTCCCCCGGCCGGAGAGGCGGGAAGCCTGTCCACTTCGTGGACGGTAGCGTGTGCTCGCTGGTCGTCCTCCGAAGACCGGAAGGGATAATCACCCGCACCAGCGGTATCTGGGACAGCGTCGTGCCGCAGCGCCGCACAGTCTGAAGGGCTGCGTCGAGCAAAATCGAGCGCAGGGTCGCAGAACACGTTATGTCAAGTTGAGGTCATGGAAGGGCAAGTTGGGTAGTTAAGCAGACAACGCACCATATAAATGTTCTCATGCAGGCTGTTTTCTCTCATTTCAGTGTTATGATCATTGCATGTTCCTCAGATGCCTTGTCCTGGAAATATCCCGGCCTCTCAGTAAATGCCTATAGCTACAAGCTTAGGCTTAGTGGGGCTTTACTATCTGAGGCCTTTTTAGTCGTTCCAAATGCAGAGTTTCAGGTGATGGCAGGCATCTAAGTCTAAATGTGCTTGAGTAAGTCTGCAAGATATCTGGTGTGTGCATGTATTGAAGAATAGAGGTGGTGCACACAGGAACCTACAATGTTTATCATGGGGCGCCCAGCCGCTTCCTGCACTGCCTGTACCGGGTGCCGGCCGGCTCAGGCTGCTGCTGTGCGTAGGGCTGGGAAGGAGTTCGATTTAACCTTGATTAGTCTTCGTCTTCGTTATGGCTATGGAAGCGGGGGTGGCTTGATGCGATGATGTGCGACGATGGTATGTGATGGTGTATTTGATGGTTTTATGATGACGATGTGTTTGCCTGCGGACGGGAAACTGTACGCTGTGCTAGGTGTAGTCTCCTTTTTGGCTGCATAAACCACTTGGACAGCTTGTGAATGTTGCTTTACTGTGTTTGTGAGAAGTCCTTTGGACGGAAGGCGTTATGTCTGATTTAGACGGAATGTGTCTAAACTGTCGTCGTTTCCTGTCAGCTAAGGTGTTTTCTGTCGATCTGAATACACTTGCATGACGTGTTGGAGCTGATGATCTCGTTCATATCACCGTCCACGTTTTGTAGGTCCTCGAGTGTTTAGCCGAGATTATTGTGTGAGGGCCACTGTACCATTGCCATAAGAAGTCAGCGATGTCCGGTACAGTGCACCATCTCATTTAAAGGCTATGTCATTAAAAGAGTACAGCCGACGGGGTTCCAAGAAATGATGGGAGGTGTCAGCTGACGTAGCGCGAGACCTGTCTGCTCCAACTCGGATCCTGTGCATTGGGTATTATCGTGGGATCATCCGGGATTCCGGTTTTACGTCGTTCTTTATACAAGTTAGGACATGGAATAAACTAGCAATCTAGGCCCCTGTATAACTAACATGGTTTAGGTCCCGCTGCTTTCAGAACGGATATCCAGGAGCGTGTGGAGTTACTAATAATGTTTAGTGGTCATAGGTTCCCATCAGAGCTCTGGTTTTACCGAATTTGTTGAGGAAAGCATTGAGCGCGGGATTGACCGACCTGGGGCGCGGTAAACATGAGGTTTGGATGCAATAAATGAATGCAATTGAATCTAGGTCTGGGTCCAAATGTTCATTTCCTCAATCGTTACATTACATGCCCATTCTCTCCTTATGTGGGTGCCTTAGGTACATTTATAAGAGTACATGTAGGTTCCTATGTCTTTATGTTTTCCTTTGGTATCTGAAGACTGAGTGTCAAAAGCGGGTCAGAAACTGGATATCAGATCGAAGATATTGCATCGTCCAAAATTCCTCACGGAGGCCTGCATTCCGCGGGATTTTCATCAGTATGACGTGCTGTTTTGTAAGGATCCACGTCTTTACGGCAAAGTAAGCAGCAAGAGAAGGGGCCGGCATAAGATTGCTAGCCCAGCTGCGATTTGTCCGCGGCCCGAGAAGTCGAGGCCCTCAACGAAATACGGTCTTAAGGCCCTGGACCACGTGGCGATCTTATGACCATTGGACGGCACTGTTGACGTCTAGACTTCTTACAAAAAAAGCATAAAAATAGAAGGAAGAGGCAAACGCAAAACAGTTGGGGAAGTTTCGCTGCATTTCCATCGCTTTCATCCAATATATGCTCGACAATGTAGGTTTTAGTGGCCTCAACTTTCCCGCTCCAAAACCATGTTTCTTCTTGTTCTTGAAAGCTAGTTGTTGGGCTACAGTTAATATAACCGTATTTACAAAATGATATTACAGATATATTTCTCATCACCTCTGATATTTGGCAAGACAAAACGTTTTTGCGAGAGCATCAATAGCTGGGACATTTCGCTCAGCACTATTTCTAACACCACTGTTGGCGTTTGCTAGGATACGCATTTACGAAAAAATATATGCCTGCGGGAAACCGCCGGTGGCGCGGCGTGGTGCCCCCCCCCCCCCCCCCCCCTCCTCCCTCTCCCCGTCCGCGCCTAGCGCCCCAGGGTAGCCGCCTGTGGCGCCGCGCGGCCACTCCCCGTCCGTGCCCAGCGCCCGGGGGCAGCCGTCGTTGGCGCCGCGCGGCCGCCGTCCGTCCGCGCCCAGCGCTCACCAGGTGCTCCAGCGCGTGCTTCTTGAAGGCGAAGTAGGTGACAAAGAAAGTGGGCGGCACGGACACGCCAAACCAGAGCCCGATCAGCGTCAGTATGGTGAGACATGGCGGCGGTGCAGACGAGTTGTGTGCCCACGGCACGAGGTTCAGCAGCAGCGTGATGCTGAACACGATCCTGCGGACGGATGGCAAGCAGGGGCTCAGTGGGAGCACCAGAGACGCATTCCACAGCGGCCCGACCCCACCCCCGATAGCTACGGCATCCAGCGGAACAGACGTCTCACCTGACCCCTGAGCACAGTGATTTCTTATTTGTGGGGCACAGGCAATGTCAATTACCACGATTACGTTGGCCGCGTTCACCCACTCTGCTGCGATTGCGAGCAGGACTCAGCGGCACAGCCTCCCACACACAGCGCATCATCAGCCGATTCAAACGTGGCAATTTTCCAAGCTTGGTACATGTCACGCCCAAGTGTGCTTCCATCAAGTTCTGAATCTACAGCGACGCCAAAATCGCACAAATAGGATGCACACATGAACGGTGCAAATTCTGTGCCAGCGCGGCGGGTGGGCGCGGCCCGGCGCCGACTCGTCCACGCCGGCGCATACCCAGCCCGAAGAGAGTGACGGCCCGGTGCCGGCAGCGCGGCTGCAGCTGGGCACGGCTCACCCCAGGCCAGGGAGCTAGAGTCGCTTTTGAACTAGGGTGGGAGTGAAAAATTCCATCGCAAAATGACCATGCGGGAGTGAAAAAATCAAGTCACAAAAGGTGGAACTAATGAACTCGTGACTGATGCTTCAGCAAACTAAGACATCTATTTCAAGTTGGCATGGACGTAATATCAGGAACCCGATAAAACTACTTCGTTTTTTTACATCTTAGGCCATCAAAGTGAAACAGAATATATTACCACGCGCTCGGTTGGGGGAGCAAGTTGACCCCTCCCCCCGAGGGCTTTTCCCGAATAGTTTCTGAACGGCGCGGTGTAGCCGCTTGCGTAGTTGCAGAAAATTGCAAAGCAGATCGTTTGACATACACATTTTAGATGTAGCTTGTAAGGTCACTGACCCCCCCTGACCCGGGTCGAACATTTTGCCTTAGAAACATACTGCAGGTCAAAGTTAGGTCATGGTTTCAGCGAAGGCAATTTCTAGGGAATCGTTCAATCTGATACAACAACAGAGTGTTTGAAGAAGACATACATCTCTGAGATGCTTTCTTAGCCACCACAAATATTGAATAAGCAAATTACGTTGACCTAAGGTCAGGTATGATGATCAGACCAAGGTCAAAACCAACCTGACTGGGGCTTGCTGTATGGAATAGTTCCTGGTGCTCATTTCGAGTCTATTGAGAGCAGGAACCGCACTATACATCTTCAATCGACTTCTTAGAGATCAGAACAGGCCATTGACCTAAGATGACCCGGGTCGAACGTTTCGTCTAAGAACATACTGCCTCGCGTAATCTTTGTCGCTTATTCAAACGCAAAACGCAGAGCAGGTTTGTATCATTTTGGTCACCATGACCTTCAAAGGGTCAAACAAGGTCAATGAGCTCAAATGGGCTTGTGGCCTTTTGCTTAGAGACAGTTGCCTAGGCCCTAGGGGCGCTTTGGAAACCAACCTGGAATTTGACCTTGTTTGACCTTATTCGACTTGAAGGTCATGACCTAGGAGGCTGGAACCTTAACCTAGGTGAGTTCACGTATAGGTCAAGACATTTTGTAAATTTGATGTCTCTAGCTTTCTTAGTTCACGAAATATCAGAGGGGGGAGGGGGGGAATTGACCCCCACCCACACCCGAGCGAAGGGTATCTAGCCGGTCAACCCGGCGCGTGCTAAAACATAGTAATTTCAAGACAGTATTATGAGCATAGCAAATTATTAACACCCATAATTTGATGCTGCACTTTTCAATTCCCTTCCAGAGTACTTTAAAAAAAAACAATGCAAAGGAATTCAATGACAAAATAACAAAAGAAAATTCAACAAGCATAACACACTAAAACAAAAGACCTTGGACTCCTACGCATCAGCCCATCACCCAGTCAAACACAATAGACATACTTTTGGCCTCTGTTAAGATGGGGTCAGGGAAAAAAATATTTTGTCATTGTTTCTTACAAAATACCAGTGCATGTTTCCATGAAAGTAGCCTATGCCTAAGCTGAAGAGCCCTTACATCATCTCATCCTGTACAACCCGTTTGTATCACAGCGGCAGTTTTGAGTTACTGATTTTTGCACAATTCCTATTGCCACTTGCCATGCACTTGACCAACTTAACCTAACTTAGAGTAGCCCATGTCATGAACATCATCTTAACTCATCTATCTGTTGACAGCGGCACCTGTGATAAAAACATGATATTTAAAGCTAATTTTTGGCGGGTTTCAAATTGCATTTTTATTAATTTCATTTGTGTATACTTGCTGCCATCAGACAAAGTTGACAACACACAAATCAAAACACTTTAAATCACTTTGAAAAACTTATTTTGATTGTCATGGTTAATCTATGTCAAGGGCAATAATGGGTATGCTCCACAAAACAATTTCTCGTCTCCAAAACTAACGTAACTTTTAGATGACCATGTCAGTATTGCTGCTTGCCTTTTCGGCTGCAGCAAACGCATCTATTCGGGCTTGTTTCCTCATATCTAATGACAAAGTTTGAGATGTTGGCTTCACATTTTAAATGGGGTGGTCTGACTACTCGTTACATACCAATATTTAACTCGTATTATAACTGCTATGCAGCTGAGAGTATCCATGTGTTAAAAATTTCGTGCATATATACAGTATAGTCATTTGCCGGTCAGCAAACCATGACAACTGTAGAAAACATCTGGTTAAAGCAGCCATGAGGGGCCATTTTAAGAAATTTGGGGCAAATAACCAAGAATATGGAACAAAACAAGACCATTGCATACCTTGTGGCATCATATTTTGTCTTATGGCAAAACTCGATACATTAAAACAGAAAATGGCTATTTCTAGTTACCAATCATGTGGTGAAAGCAGGTAAGGTAAGCAATTACTTGGCCCACAGGAGACTTACTGGCTTCTTCTTGCTCCCCCAGAGACAAAAATTCGGTGCCTTTGCATGTTCTGCTGGCAGACAAAGTCCTCCGACCCACCCCCAAATATAAATATCAATCATGCCCACCAACCTTCGAGATTAAATCCGAAACAAGTAAGAGGTGTGCATGATACACATCTTCAGAAGGCAGAATTTCGTCATCAAACACTTCGGTATTAGCTGCGTGAGGTCTGTCCCAAGGCTGTATATGGCAGCATTAGAATAGCCTTGCCAGGTAGCCTGGTGGGGCAGACACTCGAAAAGCTTGGATTTATCATTATTGAGCACCGCTATGAACCAAGAAAACGCTTAGCCGAAGGTTTAAGAGGGCAAAAATGGCGGCAAAAATAAGGTCCGTGCTTCAAATCTTCTCCTTCATTCCATGTGAATTGTTCACACTTGGGAGCATATCAAACATGTTTGGGCGGCTTGCGAATTAATCCAATTGATGTATTAAATACGTGCAAGTTTGCAGTTGCAGCATCTTCCAGAGAAATTGGTCAAAATATTAAGCAGCACATGGTACCTCCAAAGACAATCGAAATGGAAGGAAGAGTAAAGTGGTATCACACTGGTATGATACCAAGAAAAACAAAAGTAGCTAAATAAATATAAAGACTGGTACTTTTCTCGCAACATTTTGTAATCGCCTGATTTGACTTAAAATCTGTTGATATAAGTGCTCAAATGGTGATATTCTTCTTGTAAGCTTGATTTAGAAGACGTTTCTTGAACTTTTCACTCATGCGTTTCGGCAGTGATGCAATTTAGTGCCAAGTTTCCTCAGGAAAAAAATAAATACGTGGAGTAAAATTATCTACCAGGCTTTACTGGTGTTTGCACTAGGCTCTGGTTTTGTCGTGTGGTGGTGAGACCAAAAAAAGTTATTGGGCTTGGAGCTACCTGGCGCCCTTGCTCTGTGCAAACATAGGCATGATTCAGATGTAGGTGGGGCAAGACATAGCCATAGGTGTCCAGGTTCTGCGGAGCCTCGTTTATGCTTGGTGGTTTCAAGTGAGCTCGGTTTTGGGTGACATCTGAAAACCTCAGAAAGGGAAATAGGGGTGTGGCATGTGCGATTAGACAATGCCAGGCAGGAGTGAAAAATTAACATAAAATATGGGGGAAGGGAGTGAAAAATTCCTCCTCATAATGTGTAGATTTACACCCAAAGTCGGCAATTCTAGGACACTGCCCCAGGCACAGTGTCAATGTCAGCAGCACGTCGAGTCCCCACTTTTCGCCGCCACTTCCCGACTTATAGATTCGGGCAGACACGTAGCCGACGGGCGTACCCAGGCAGACGCACACCACCAGGCCACATGCCATCAGCAAGCCGCGGTTGACCGGCGACAGGAGGCCCAGGCACGCGAACACTGCAGGGGCCGGTCATAGACCACCACAAGACGCTGATATGGATGGTCGAAGTTCAGCGCCGGTACTGGTGCAGGAGGTCAGAAGCCAGCGCCGGCGCTGGTACAGGTCATCGACGCAACACAGGCAGGACAAAAACCAGTTGATTGAGGGAATTATGCAGTAGATTTTAACTTCTCGGATTAATTTTCAGTACACAATGAACGGCATATGTTTACGTCATTACCTTATTCAAACGCGTTCTCAAAAAATAAAAAGTCCTTAACAGCAACAACAAAACACATAGGCCGCCTGCTCATCACACAGCGCAGAGCACCAAGTCAATGTAGTTAATCCCCATCAAATGACGGGTGCCGCGCAGTCCCGGCAATAATGCCACATCTCGACAGAACGCCAGACGTGAAGACAGTGTCATTGCAGTGTCAACCATGGTGCGGACAACCATCACCGCGGGGCCGGCCCGAATACGGCTCAGGCGCGAGGGCCACCATAGCGGCCGCAAGTCATCCACCGAGTGTGATGAGCGTCATGGAGAGCACCTGGACACCTGAGTTCATTTGCACGGAGAGCAGCATGCCGTGCCGAGGCGGACGGAACACGTCGCCGTACACCACCTTCCAGCCAAAACCCTCCTGAGAGTCGTCTCCCGGCTCGATCTGACGGGCAGCCCGCCGACTGTCACTCCCCAGCCCCGGGCGGGGACGGCTGTCACTCCCTAGCCCGGTCAGGGACAGCTGTCATTTCCCAGCCACGGCCAGGGACGGCTGTCACTCCGTATTCTGATCCAGCCGGCCCACGCACATGAACCCAGCTATCAAGCTGCAAGACCCAAGATGCCCGACAGCTCTGCTACACGCGGCCAAGAAGCGGACCCATAGCACAGCTGGCTGGCTGCCAGTAAGGCCCAGCACCCAGCAGGGTGGCGGGGCAATGCCACGGGGCGTACCGCGGCCACGCCGTTCACCACAGCAGCGTCACAGCGTGGTCTGGCTGTGGCTGCACGAGCCGTGCAATCCCGCAGCACGCTCAAATTGACGAACTGACGAAAAATAACTCACACTTGAGCTAAAGCTCAGAATCCAATCCCAAAAGAAAACACTCTGACCTGGATTCTGGTCTTGGAGATGGTGTATACGCTGGAAGCACTGGGGTGCCTGGAACACCTTCCCTGTGCTGAAAACAATTAAGTACATCAACTATCATGATCAGTAAGATTAGCAATGAACAAAGCTGCCACACAACGCACAGGTTATAGGGCAGCAATGTTACATGTGCTCCAAGTATAAACACAACAATGTTTTACTTGCATCATATGGCTGTTGATGTCAGAAATGAAGACCTCAGTCAACTTAGGTGATATGAACCATTGATATCACACCCTTTAAGACAAACACATCATAAATCTACCCCAATGCTACACAGAAAGCATGACTGTGCCCCGTAAATGTCTGAATGCCCTGTCATGCATTTCACAGTATACTAACTCGCAGACATTTGTTTAAAGACGCCACTCTGAAATGCATGAATGAACGATGACTGAAAGAAGCCATAAAAATCAATGAGACGAAAGATAGCCACAGAAATGTCATGTGTGTTCTTACGTCAACTAAGTTGAAGCCTGAATGCCAAGGCTATAAAAGAAGGGTCCGGCAAAAAAGAAATGAAGAACAGGCATTCACAACCCTGCAGCGATGACACAGCATTGGTCTTCAGTCTTTTCCTTTCAGCTACTAGGCTGGAGAAAGCTTCTGATGAAAAATGTGCCTGGTACACTCCATGGCCAGTAGCCACAACACTATTGCGAGATGCTTCAAGCCGCTCCTGCACATGTGGTTGTTCAGCCGGGGATCTGAAATGATCACAATAATTAGGAAATTTGATTACTTTACACCACAATGGACATCTTCCACTTGAAATGAGTAATGCAAACTGAAAATATCTGCCTGCAGGGTGTGTTTTGATAATTGTGCAAAGTGCCAATTCATTAGCAATACAGACTACAGGCAACATCCAGGCTGCCAAACATGCCTGACACATTTTGAAATGCTTGTCATCCCAAAAATCAGCCATTCAAGCTGAGGCGATGCACCCATGAACTGTACGGGCTTTGAGCGTGGTGCATGACTGTCACCAATTTTAGTGAATATTAAGCAAATTTAGTGTTTTGAAATAGTGGCAGCAACATCCAAACAGTACTGTTATTGCCGGAATACTTGAGACTGATATCCCTGGTCCTAGCCTGACTGCCAAGATTCATGTTAACTTACATATCTGTTTATGTAAGTGATTACATCAAATAGCCAAGGTCTACCTGCATGAACTTAGTGAGAAAGGTAGGAGATGGAAGCAGGGCAGGAAATATTAAACTCCCTCAAAAATGTCAGAACAATGTTACTACCCATATTTCACACACAAAATGGGTAGGAGATATCCCATGCGGAGGTGTTTGACATCACTCACATTGGGCTGTGAAGTGGCAGTGTTGTTATCCCTGTCTACCCACTCTGAAAAACATCAACTCTGCCACACCCATCTAACATCAACAGCTGTGTGCCAAACCTGCGCCCATGTGCCATACTTGGGCCTAGTCAGTTACTCTCAAAATTAACATGGTGTATATTTTTTGTTGTAACGATAAACTACCTAAACAAAACCATTTCTCAAATTGGTGGCAACCGTCAGCTCAGCTTCTAGCACTTGCACCCGCTGTTCATCTACCGCGCGCATCTGCTTTTCATTGATTTTGTTTTAATTTTGAAGGCATTTTTGGCGGACATGCTATAATTGCATTCCCATTCCTCAAACTGACAAAAATTGAAAGCGACCACACACCGTACTCGAAACTGCATGCGATATTGAGACGTGCACACCCTGAGCTTATTGCTGTGATGTCGGTGATACGTCGGACATATTCGGCGTGAAGCGTTTTTAACAGATTGGGAGCGAAGTACTTACGCGAACACAGTCAAGTGATTCTCGTTTGTCTTGCGATCACCACACACACACCACACTTTCTGTTGGCATCTCGCACCGACGCAAACAGGTCACTGCCTGGGAGTGGGGAAAAATACCTCGTCGACGAATGCCGCACAGTTCGAAATTGCTGACGTTTATGTTCGCGACACACATTCAGCGGTAACATCTTACCAAGAGTCAATCATCTTCCGCGGACTGTACCACATGTGCAGCATCATCGACTTTGCGAATGTATCAGCGGCCATTCCGTATTGACCATAAACAAAAAAAAAAACACCCGGGATATCACGGGGATCTAATGACGTTTCTATGGCGTCATTAATGAGAGAGGCGATTTTGAAGTTGGCTGTAAATAAAAGCCTTTTCTTACTTTGCGGGTGTGTAACCTCAGGAACCAGAGCGTTTCGGGTCCTAAAAAGGGCATATCCGTGAACTGCGTCAAAATGTCCTCAAGGTGGCTAATTCAGTTCAAAAACGCCACACAAATGTGGAACATTCCCTATAAGGGAAGCTTTGTTGGGCTGTTTGACGAACGCAATGCAGCGATCGCCAGCTTTTAGGGTAGATTATTAATATCAAAGCTCAATATGCTGTGAAGACTGTCATATAGCGTCATAAATCTCTTACCGAAACCTGTCAAGAACTGTTGAGGATATCAATGCTATATTGTCGACAATACCTTGCCTGCAGTGCTGTAGTCCTGATATTGATACCATGTGATGTGCACAGCAGTTATTTTGTTATTTGTAACTGAAAATGCATTTGCCGGCCAAAATCAATAATTATGTAACATTGTAATGAATTAATTGTCAAAGCAGCGCTACTTCTTTGGTAAAGGTGGTAAGGTTGGGTTTCCAAGAATGCTTTGCCTGCTTAGGATTACTTATCCAATTACTAGTTAACCCTGATATGACCTTTGTGGTGCAACAACATTCTCGCTTGCGATAGTCCTTTGGCATTGTTAAGTCAGTTGTTACAAGTCATTCATAACTTATAAACTGTTATCTGATAGGCTTGACATAAAGTAGTCAACCAATGTGGTACGTTGCGTCTGGCACGGGTCAACAGTGTCATCGTGCCACCACCTCAGTGCTGTACTGTGGCATAACACCATAGACAATGATACGGTTTTTGTACTGCAATCCCTGCTGCTTTCACAGTCAATTCCATCATGAAAAGATGGGTCAAGCGTGCATTCTTGTAATAACTCCGCATGCGACATATGGATTGGTAAAACACGCACGATATAATATACAAATATCTTTTCAAGCAAAGCACACAACCATTCAGGCAGCATCACTTGCTTCAGCCTGTTTGGGGAATGCAGAAAACATAGGTGACAAAGATGCAAACATGTATTCTGCTTCCACAGCTATGCAACATACTGCAGCCATCGGCCACTTCGCTCAGAATGTTGTTTCACACGAGTAATAACACAGGTATGAAAGGAACATATTACATCTTGCGAAATGACATTCAACCTGCTGACCTTGCACAACGCTGGAGACAAGACAAGTGTATGTGGTAACGGCTAGATGAGCGAAATGCAAGGAAATGATGAGGCTGCCCGTGCGCACAAGGCTCATGATATCACAGCACTATATTTTCTGATTCTTAAGTGACAGATAATTTTCGAGGCTGTATCATGTGAACTGTTATCCAAGCATGTGCATTAATGAGCTGTGCCGACCTGTCGCTACCTTATCGATCGCTAGCTCGTTATGTTTCAGCGCAAACCTAAGAAAGAGGCAGGTACATATAGACAACATTTATTGGGAGTCATTAGAATATTGCCCTAAAAGAATACCAAACCTTGCTCTCTCTCAATCCAGATACAAAACCACTTGCACGCACATTATCCCATCACATCAAGATTAATACAAGCCACTGACACGCATCACCAGTGATCACACACATTTTAAGCTCCTGATTCATACTCCAATGTCAAATAAGTTTGATGCCACATTTGCACAACCCGCGGGACTATCAAATTGCAGGTTTCCTCGCAATTTTCCCGGGTCGTCACTTACAATACCACATTTCACCGTTAGCTCCCTTCAAAACAAGGTCCCAATGGGGGTTTATGGTAATACGACTGAAGAGCTCGTGCTTTAAGAACACAATTTTGTTGTTCAAGATTTTAATTTGCCCTACAATATGTGTTAAATGTTAAGTAATATATATATATATATATATATATATATATATGTATATATATATGTGTGTGTGTGTGTGTGTGTGTGTGGTGTGTGTGTGTGTGTGTGTGTGTGTGTGTGTGTGTGTGTGTGGTGTGTGTGTGTGTGTGTGTGTGTGTGTGTGTGTGTGTGTGTGTGTGTGTGTGTGTGTGTGTGTGTGTGTGTGTGTGTGTTGGTGTGTGTGTGTGTGTGTGTGTGTGTGTGTGTGTGTGTGTGTGTGTGTGGTGTGTGTGTGTGTGTGTGTGTGTGTGTGTGTGTGTGTGTGTGTGTGTGTGTGTGTGTGTGTGTGTGTGGTGTGTGTGTGTGTGGTGTGTGTGTGTGTGTGTGTGTGTGTGTGTGTATATAATTACTGTAGTATACCCTCGATTTTATAATGCCGCGCTAGCCCATAGTCCCGTGCAAGGGTCTTGGCTCCGGTACACAATGCGCTAACCGAGCTGTCTGCAAGGAACATGCAAGTATGAGAAAAAATCCTCGGCAGGAGA